TGGAAGCATTTCCAAGGGAAGCAAAGGGCCCTCTGGATGCCAGACTCGGCAAGAGCACACAGGGAGGGGGGTGGACCATGAGGGGCTGTGGGTGAGTGTGGAGACGAGGGACTCTGTGTAAGAGGGTCTCACAAACCCCGACTTCCCGCCTCTTGACTTGTTCTTATCTGTCCATCCCCCCAGCAAAACTACACATGGAAGCCCACCAACATTCAAGGACCCTCTTATGGGATGGCGCCATGGCAACATTAATGACAGCAAACTGTGCCAGAAGCACTGCCTTCTCTTTATGTAGGCGGAATGGGGACTTGGTGACTTAAAAAAATAATGTGCTATGACACTGAATCCGAAGCTGGCTGGGACCTACTATTTAGCTGTAGATCCCATGGCCAACTTATGACTGCAGCAATTCGGAAATTTCTCCGAGAACGGGGCAGATGGAACTGTTTTGTCGCATATGTGTTACGGGCACCTCCCTCGATATGCCAGACCTGCCTGCGTGCTTGAGCCAGCAGATTCGTGCACCTAATGGGATTCTCACTTGATGCGACCCGACATAGCACAGCGCCAACCCACGCTCACCATCGTTGGTCAGCATCACATGCCTGACCTTGTGCCATCAGAAGCTGGCCCTGCTTGCTCCTGCCGTCTGCGGAGACAGCACCTACTGGTCACACCTGCCTGGGGCTTTGGGTCACCTGCAGCCATCTGCCCACCTCCACTTACATCTTTTCACTCCATTGGTTTTATTCTGACTGCACCTGTTGGTAGCCACTGTTTAGGTATCTATCTCAAGGGGTTTCAGAAGAAAACAAAAAACGGCATGATTACAAAATATTTGGAAGGTTTTTTTTAAATGATCCAAAAGCTTAAAGAATACGAATCCTGAGACATGCACACCCATGTCTAGGTCATATTCCAAGGAAAAATTAGATGTTCACTTTCTAGAATCATTTCAGTAGAGAGCATACATAGAACAGATTTTGGTATACACTCAACAACAAAAATACAGAAGGAGTGATTTATTTGTTGGGTTCATGGGTAATTTTTTTTTTAAAGTTTGCTCTCTGGTTACTTCCTCTTTGTCCTAGACTGTTTCTATTTTTTCCAGCAAAGAACATGGATAAGTAGCTGTGTAGAACACATTTAAGATGATGTAAACCTTGAAAAAAACAGAAATAAACTCTGAAGCCAAATCTAAGTAAATATATTAAAATCAAAGTGTTGGCTCCTGGGCCCTTCCTTTGCATGGATAATGGAGAGTTCACCTTAAGCACAATGAAAAGGCCAACTCACTTCCTCTTTGGACAAAGAGGGCTAGGCTGTATTCTACCAAACTCCCACAAGGGGGAGAGTTTTGGCAGGGTAGCCGTGTCCTCGAAGTTCTAAGCAACTCCCAATTTTTATTCGTGCTTCTTGTGAGCAACTGACTTCACCTCTTCACATATCATGAATATCTAACTTAGAAGGCCATGTCCAACACTTCTTGGCTAAGATCAAGTGGGTGTCTGTCCTTATCAGTTTTATAAGGTCAGATTTTTTGACTGATGCCTTTTTACAGGCAATGTTACTTTACAAACATGTATTTCTCCCCTGTCTCCATCAGCCCCTCGTTTGTGTTGAAGATTTAAGAAAATTGCTAGAGGAAGCAGAAGGTGATAAACCTCCTTCTGCAGGACAGTGGAGACTTCCCTGGTCAGCTTAACCATTAAAGATCTATTGCTTCTAAAACTTCATTGTCCCTCAGCTGATGTGACAGACTCCCTACCTAAGCAATCAATCGGACTACATGGGACGCCTCTGTGGAGGAGGTTCTCTGCCTTCACTTGAGGTAGTAACGCACCTGAAGAGCCAGAGGGTTTCCTGGAGTGAAGTCCATGCTGGCATGTGGGAATGCCGGGTTGTTAAAGGGGACCAACATTAAGGGACAGTTACAAGGCTTTCATGCTTACACTCATGAACAACAGTCCTATATACATTCCTAGCACCATGAAGACTGCTCCAGGCATCACTGGAGGAAGGACCAAGCATATCCCTCAAGGGCAAAGAGTGAATGAAGAGTTTCAGTTTAAACCTCAAGCCTGTAATCCCAGCACGGTGGGAGGCAGAGGCAAGAGGACTGCCTGAGTCCACTGGTTCGAGACCAGTGGGCATCTTGGCAAGACGTCTTCTCTACAATAAATCAAAAAATTAGCCAGGCAAGGTGGCAAGCGCCTGTAATTCCAGCTACTTGGAAGGCTGAGGCAGAAGGATCGCCTGAGCCCAGCAGGTCAAGGCTGCAGTGGCCGTGAGCATGCCACTACACTCCAGTCAGGATAGTAGAGTGAGAGACTCCGACTCAAAAACAAACTAATCAATTAATTAATTAAACCTCAATATTCAATATGGTCCTTTAAGGGAGAACTGCCCTGCACTGTGATGTTTTTATATTCTTTTGTGGGAAAATCTAGGGTACATTTTCATGAAAGACCTTATTGACTGAAAAAGTCAGACCTACATTATAAAACATATTTAGGCACTGTAAGAAAATACCATCTAGGTATATAAACCTAGAAAATCCCTCAAGGATTTTCTTGGTGATTGCTTACCCCCTCCCCTTTTTTTGTTCGTTTCAAATAGTCTTCCTCCAAAGTCTCAATTTTAACTTCATGGGAGGGAGCTCCGAATAAAGCCTTCACCCCACTCCCATCATGCTAACCTGGTTTTTAAAATTCCTTGAGATCACTAAACTCTATCTTCCTGACCTCTTTTAAATCTCAGTCTTCTTTCTCACCATGGACTGTGACCACAATTAAACCACGCATACATTTTTGATTTGCTGGTTTCATGTTACAACTTCCAGTGACTTGTCTTTTTCTGGAGGCTTTGCCCCTTCAAGAAAACCTATATAACTTCCAGGGCAAGGCAGAGGTGGGGAAAGGTTTTGATGGGATTTGGAAATATAACACTGATAACTGCAAGGTTATAAATAACACCATGGTATAAAACTTGGTGCTGAATGAGGCTGAGACCATGAATTTGGACTCAGCTCTGTGCCTGTAGATGTCCCAGGAATCCCAAGTTTGTGTTCCTCTAGAGCGATCAGGAAGCTGAAAGCAAAGCACCAGGTGCTACACTTTAAGACTTGTTTGCAAGCATGGGAACCCAAGGGCTCCCCCAACTCCCTCAATATGGGCTGCTTTCCCTCCTTCGGGACTGCTATGGGAAGGTCACATGGCCTCTTTCTAAACCAGGCTGAGGAAAACGTTCCAGACTAACAGGTAACGTGGCAGCTGATGGTTAAACATTAACAGGATGGTCTGCAGCAAGAGCATACCCTGCTAGCTTTGCTGTGGTTTCCTGTGGGTTGAACAGTAGACCATGTTTGGCTCATGGGAGTCTGAGTCATGGCAACATTCTATGGGTGTCCAAGCCTTTCTCTCAATGCTCCTGGCAAGTAAAGTGGACATGGAAGCCGGGGAAGGAATAAGTAAACTGGTCTGCTCTTTGATACCCTGAAAGGGGCTGGTCCAGACCGAAAGGCCAGGCAGTCAAGAACACTCAGCTGGTTTCAGGGCTTGGCAGGAAGTGTGGAAAGGGGCAGAAGGTGGCTTCTCCACCGGTCATCAGTTCCTCCTCTTGGAAGTGCTTATGGGGGGTGCAAGCTGGGATGAATGCCTGACTCTGCATCCATACAACTCCCAGGTTGTGGTGCCTCCCAATTACTTGGTACCCTATTCTCACCCAAATCTGAAGAGAGGCCACAGGACACAAATACACCTTTAGAAAAATACAGTTGGGGGGAGTATCCTTGGCTCTGTTAAGCTTTCAAGACTCGCAGGACTGAATCTAACACTTGTGATGCTATCACTGTTCCTGACCAACATCAACTGACGGAGTGTCTAAGTAACCTGTGGCAGGCTATTTTTTGTTTTGTTTGTTCTGGGGGGCGAGGATGGAGAACCCCAGCAGTCAGGGAGGAAGGAGTGTACTGAAAAGGGACATGAGTAAATACAGAAGCTGTAAGGGAAAAGAGGTGGCAGCCGTTAATTGCTCTGTGGGGGCTGGAGGGAGCAGCACACAACAGCACAGGAGAATAATACCCGGATTCAGGTCAGGCAGAGATGTGATTAAAGGAAGGACATGCACAGTGCTTTTTCAAACAAAGACACAGTTTTATACGGGGAAGAGAGTTATGGAGAAGAAAAATACCATGCCCGAACCCACCCGGGGCTCAGCACCCCTCCTTCCCGCAAGACGTGACATCCCAGGGAGCCCATCCCTGCTCCTAAGGAGGCCGCAGAGGCTGGAGTTCCCCAGATCTCTGGGGCTTCACATTCCTTTAGATGTGCTCACACCAAGGGTTAAAACTGTAGGCCTTCCCTCATATCCCGCCTCCCAACATCAAGAACAAAGGTTTCTTCTGCTGAGAGGGAGACATCTTCCCTAGCAGCCACAAAAAGTCACCTAGGGGCACTGTCATTGCTTCCCAAATTCCTGGGCTTCTGGCTCAAGAGTCAGGCCTACTGTACATGGAGGCTGGCCTGACCCAGGAGTTATCGGCAGGGCCCGTCTTTCTGGGCTGACGTCTCCAGTTCTACTAAGAAGTGGACAAGCCGTCCCACCACAGCTCAGATGCCAGAGTTTGCTACAACTCATAACCAAACTCCTTGCCTCTCCCTCTCTCTGGGTTCTCTGTCACCTGGAGGCACTACCTGTGCTATCATGGGATCCAACATCACTCTCTTTTGACTGGGGGATAAGCCCGTTTCTTCTCAGAGAACAGGTGGTAACTCCATGTTTGCGCAACTGGTGGCGTTCACAGTTAGATTTGGTAGAAAAGAAGGCATCGCATTTTTGACAAGGGAAGGGTTTCTGACCTGAAGCAGGAAAAAAAAAAATATATTTATCTGGCTTTCTACTGAAACAAAAAAGAAAAGTCGCTTTTGATTTATTCTCCTGGGATTATTGGCATTTGTTTCCCCCCTCCTCCACCCCTTCCTTTTAAGAAAATGAACAAAACACATTTAAAAAGGCACTGAGAAGAACACCAATGACTAAAATGATCCTTCTCCCTTCTCCTGAGTGGAATGGAAGGAGTTTTTGTCTTCAAAGTACTAAAAGACATGAAACCAAGATATATATGTTTAAAGTAAAACAACAGTATTACAACTTAAAATATTAAGTAACAATAATGACAACAAAAAATAAAAGTGAATGACGGGATTTTAGAGCACAACAAAAAACCCCCCAAAACAAACAAACAAAAAAACCCTATATTTGCTCACAAAGAGAAAGATATGTTTTAGTGATTCCTGGCGTGGCAAGAACACTGCAGTAAGGATGCTGGGAAGTCAGAGGGGTGAGAAAGCATGCCCTAGTCCTCTTGGAGGGATCTTGAACTCCCTAGGCATCTTTGGGGATCCACCAGAGAAGCTGGGGAGAGCCCCGTGCAGGGTGGCTATGGCCCTCCCATGGGTGGGGGGCAGCAGTGAGTTCTGACTTGCTGAGATGTCCTGCAGTGCCTTCTGCTCAAGGTCACTGCAGTCCTAGCTGGCAAGACACAGGGCTTCTTGTTCCATTCAAGTCTCTTCCCCTTGTTCTGAGCTCTCACTTGGTAGCGAACAGGTGACCAACAGAAAGCTAAGTCAGCATTCGATCATGTGCTCCACACACAGATGTGCACGCAGAGAGACCACGTTGGCTATGCCCACCCTGCCCCCAGGCCCACCCCAACCCCAAGGGGGTGACCTGCTGAGAGAGGCACTTCCCTCGGGCTTTCCTGCTTTGGTCTGCCTATCTTTGAAGTCCTTTGTACTGTCAACATCATGTTTCAAAATGTAATCGAACCTCCTCTGCAACTTGTCCTGGGTCTGTGTGGATGGATGTGCGGGAAAAAGAAAGCTAGAGCAAAGGGAGATGGTGTGTGGTAAGAAAGAAGGAGGGAAGGGATCGGGGGCTTTGGGAGAGAGAAGATGATGATACACCACTTCCTGTACCACTGGATTCTTCCCTTTTCCTCAAATTGCTAGAGTCTAACGTCTCAGTTTCCAGTTTTACAGGATAAAAGGTTCCAAGTGCTCACAAACACTTCAGAGCTGCGGCCCAATACTTCTGTACTGTAACCTTGGGACTGCCACAATCAAACACATGTGTCAAGAACTGGCAGGAAAGGCCATAGGCACCGCTCCCTGGAAACAGAAATCACGGGGCCTTTGTCCTCCCTTTCGATTAATGTCGACAGAAGCCTGAACCAGTGCAGGTGCTCAACGCCATGTGCCCACTGCAAATGCACATTGGTGGCCTGGCACCTGCGGGCAAGCCAGATGGGGTCACATGTTTTCCCAGAAAAAGGAAGGACTAGCCTAGACCAGCACCACCGCATCACATGACCCCAGGAACGTCGTTCACGCAGAGAGCTAAAGTACAGACCCAGCACCACCATGTGACCATGTCTGCACATCGGGACTACCCAAAGACAGGGGACGTTTACTCCCTCCTGAGCTGCAAGAAAGGCTCTTTAAGACAGTGCCGCAGAATCTCTTGGGAAGGGCAGAATCAGAAAACAAGAGAGAGATGGGGCCTGCTCTGCTGCCTAGGCTGGGGTGTAGTGGGGCAATCATGGTGCACTGTAACTTTGAACTCCTCAAGCAATCCTCCCACCTCAGCACCCCCAGTATTAGGATGACAGGTGTGAGCCACCACACCTGGCTGCCTGTACACTCTGAGGAGTTCCTCAAGGGGCCCTGCACATGAAGTGAAAACCCACCCACAGTTTTAAAGGGTCTCCCACAGCGCTCTGTATGTTTCTGCTAACTATGTTTTTAAAAATCCACATTAAAAAAAAATCAGCTGGGCATGGTGGCTCACGCATATAATCTCAGCACTTTGGGAGGCTAAGGTGAGAGGACTGCTTGAGGCCACAGGTTCAAGACCAGCCTGGGCAACTTGGTAAGACCTCATCTCTACAATAAATCAAAAAATTAGCCAGGTGTGGTGGCGTGTGCCTGTAGTTCCAGCTACTTGGAACGCTGAGGTAGAAGGATTGCCTGAGCCCAGCAGGCTGAGGCTGCAGTGGCCGGAAGCTTACCATTGCCCTCCAGCCTGGATGACAGAGTAAGACTCTGACTCAAAAAAAAAAATCAGCTGGGCACTGTGGCTCATTCTTATACTACTAGCACCTTTGGGAGGTCAAGGTGGGAGGATCACTTGAGCTCAGAAGTTCAAGACCAGCCTGGACAACAGTGTAACACTTAGTCTCTATTTTTTTAAAAAAGAAGTCATGCTTTTAACTTTCTTAATAGGCAGCTTTGGCCATTTTTTAACCCAGCCCTATATACATCCCTACCAAATACAGACAGAATTATAAAGTATTTCAATGTTTATGGCGCATCTTTCAAATGAGTTCTTACTTTTCACTAAAAATTGAACACGGCATTTAATAATTTCAAGGAAGAATAAAATACTTTAACTTTTTATGTCAAAAAGCTTCTCTGAGTCCAGCCAGATCAAGAGGAAAATAAGTAAGAAGCTACTATGGTAGGATTCTTGAGTTCAAAGAAAACAATTGCTTTCTCACTCCTACCTATTAGCACATGATTTACTAGGTAGTTTTCATGCTGGTAAATGCGTCACCTTTACAGTTGGTTAGGACAGCCAGGCTGACGTCCCATGATGAAGACTTCAATTAATGCCAATTTCAGAAAACAATTCCATGATGCCAAAGTATTGCATCAAATTATGAAGGTTCTCAAAGTGACAACTCACCTGAGTCATTAAAAGTTCACATTTCACTGCGCAAGTCTTAATATTTTCACATAGCTGTGCTGTGGGCCCTCTGGGTTGCAGGGATGCAGGAAAATATGGGCCCTTTTAGTATAATAGCTTAAGTTTCAAAAATACTTGTTGACAAGCAAAGTAGCAAATGATTTCATTTGGTAACTGCCACAAATTACCACCTTAGAAAGGGTGTTTGTAAAAGCATCTGCCCCCACAAGGAGTTACCTGCATACCCAAGAACTACGGCATTCTCCAAGCCCCAACATGAGCGTGAAAACCCTCAGCAAGCCAGTCTTTGTTCTTACAGAACGGTCAAGAAACCAAGAGAGGCAATTCACGCTAACCAATATGATCAGGCAGGCACTGGAACAAAGGCAAAAGAGAGAACAGTGAGAATAAGTCTGATGAGGAAATCATGACCTTGGCTACCAAGATGGAGGAAACAGAACTGAAAGTGTTCCTGTTCATTTTTCTTTTTTTTTTTTTTGAGTTGCAATCTCACTCTGTCGCCCAGGCTGGAAGTGCAGTGGCACACTCATGGCCACCCCATCATCGACATGCTGGGTTCCAGCAATCCTTCCGCCTCAGCCTTCCAAGTAGCAGGAACTACAGGCGGGCGCTACCATGCCTGGCTAATTTTTTATTTATTGTAGAGATGAAGTCTTGCCAAGTTGTCCAGGCTGGTCTCGAATCTGCGGGCACAAGCAACCCACTACCCTCGGCCTCCCAAAGTGCTGAGATTACAGGCTGAGCCACTGATCTGTTCATTTTTCAAAGAAAATCATGGTTAGAAAGGTGGGTTTTGACCAGGCACAGTGGCTGACGCCTATAATCCCAGCACTTTGGGAGGTCGAGGTGAGAGGATTACCTGAGCCCACGGGTTCGAGACCAGCCTGGGCATCTTGGTGAGACCCCATCTCTACAATAAATAAAAAAATTAGTCGGGCATGGTGGTGAGTGTCTGTAGCTCCGGCTACTTGGAAGGCTGAGGTAGAAGGATTGCCAGGGCCCAGCAGGTCGAGGCTGTAGTGGCGGGAGCATGCCACTGCCCTCCTGTCTAGGTGACAGAGTGAGACTCCTACTTAGAAAAAAGAAAAAGAAAATGAAAAAGAAAGATGGGTTTTGACTAGGAAGGAAAACCTCACAGTTACTTTTCTTTTCTTTTTTTTTTTTTTTTTTAGCAAGACAACACAGCTCCAGCCCCTCAGCCTTCTCTCCGTTGCTCCTATACCCTCTTATGAAAGTTTCTTCCTTTTGAGACTTCCTCTCTGTATTTGGCTGGGTAAAAACAGCCAAAGCTGCCACTCAAGAAAGTTAAACGCAGCACAGTACGAGTGGTGTCCGAAGTGCTCTCCTCGCTCGGGTTTGGACATCATACTGTTTAAACTCTGATGCTTGCTGCCCATTAGGAGGGGATAGGAGAGGGCAAGAGGGGAGAGCCCCAAGTTGACAAAGAAAAGGAGCTCAGAGCTCTGTGAGAAAGCAAATGAGCCAGGGAAGCCCAGAATGGACATCCTAGGGTCCCAACTCCATCATCATGGGATAAGGAACCAGAGCAAAGGGAAGGAGGAAGCAAATGAGGACAGAAGCTGGAACGGGTTGGCTGCATTTTCTGGCATTCTCTACCTGTGGCCTAAAAACACATGAGACAGTCCCGAGGGGGCAGAGGCAGGAACAGTGCACTGTTGTCTCCTACAGGGCTGGCCTGTTCCGGCAGAGAAAGGTAAGGAACCAGGAACTGTCCCCACCAGCAGGAAGCAATGGGCTGGGAGAGAGCTGGAGAGCAGTGGAAGGAAGGAGGAAAGGCAGGTGCATGTGGAGATGAGCCAGGGAGGATGAAAAATGACAGCTACGCCAGCTTTCTCATCAGACACAGTTCCTGGAACCTGAGCCAGGGAGACAGAGGGCTGAAGCCACACACTCCTTGCCTGAAGCCAGCAGGTGGACCCCGTCAGACACTTGATACTGGGGCTGCTTCTTGCTGCCCCTGAGGGGTAGGTGTGGATTGGAGAATGTGTGTGAGAGAAAACACAGACTGTAATCTCATGAATGTGCCACGACTGTAGGAGGAGGCGACCTCCAAGGCGCAGACAGTGCTTTAGTGCAGCCGAAAACCGGACACTGCTCAGCACTTTTGGCTGGAAATCAGCTAGATCATAATAATACACCTAAAAGCGGGCTCGGTGGCTCATCCTGTAATCCTGCGCCTTGGGAGGCTGAGGTGAGTGGATTGCCTGAGCCCATGGGTTTGA